TATGTTAATAGCTTGACACTGAATTTGCGAGAGAGATCAAATCTAAAGTGCAGAGGTATCAATAACTGGATATAAACATAAATAAACCTCTGTGTACTGAGAAAAGGTTTTTAGGAAGAAAACGTGTCAATGGCCTGAAATTTAAAGGATTTTGAAAGTTTTGTGTTCTTGACAAAATAAAACACAATATCCTACACAAGAATTAAGAAAATAATTTAGATTCCAGATTCCTCCTCGGGAACGAAGAACCCTCTGAAATGTGCCTCACTCCCATTGTGTGAGTTCATGGCTCATTTGCTAGTAACACCAAACTAGTGCCTGGGAGGCAGGGTTTGAATCCAGTCAAAGCCTGAATTTTTGTCAATCTTCTTTTCTACAATTGCCTGTAAAGTACAGCTGATCTGCAAGGATCATTGCTTTACCTGAGTTCATAATTTGCAAATTTCATACCATAGGCTTAATTACTCCTGTAACTAGTAACATTTTCAGTTCTGCTAAATGGTTTCTCAGGAGAGATTTGTTACACTCCCTTTTATGTTACTTGACCTATGTGGGGTACTAAACTTCATGTTACTAATTTCCAAGATAATTTTGCAATGGCAAAAAATGTGAAAATGAATCCCCAATATATAGATGAAATATATTTCCTCCAACTACAGTGCATAAATACCACAGCTCAGGTTTTTAAATTTCATGGTTACTAACTTTTGGAACTGTAACTATTACTTGTAGATTTCCAGGAGTTTACATTTTTCCGCCATTGCCAGCATGTGATCTCCATGCAGCAATGCAAAGCTGCTTCGCTGTTGTAAACAGTTCAACCAGTGAAGGAATGGCATCTGCTCTTTTAGAGGTTAGTCAATCAGTAATAATCATCTGAATCGCCACAAACGGACTGCATCAGAACTAAGACTTAAATCAAAGCTGAATTTTACAAAGTAAAAAAGCTTTCCCTCTCTCTTATTTTTCATTTGAAAATCTCCTCAAACGTGACTCTGACAGGACAATTGTAATATCAAGTATTGTAGCTGCAGCAAGTCCATTGCAAAAGGCAGCACGTGCGACGAAAAGAAACGCACGTGCAATGTTATGATCGCGTGCGCTGCCTTTTGCCATGAACTTAGAGCGCAGGCGCAGCTTGATTTGTCTTGGTTCAGGCAGCTGTGGTCAAACATAGATGTGCCTTTTCTATCGCAAACTCCGATTGGTCCGTCTGCCATTAAATATTAAACTCAAATAATTGGTTTATTTCAACACACACTGTAATTAGTTTATTGTCAGAAAAAAGTGACTAGTTAAAAATCCGATTATTGTTATCATAGAAGAACGAATTTTTTTCAAGCAGTCGCACACTTTTTTTTTCTTCCTGTAAATCGTTACGACTTCAGACCGGTCAATTATCATAATGGATGGCCTTTCGCCATGGTGAAATGTGAGGCCTTTTTTCCTTTTCGAATATTCTAACTTTTTATGTTTTTGTCCGATAACAGTCCATGGCACTTGGTGTTCCAGTGCTGGCACGAATCATTCCTGGAAACTCTGCAGTGATAAAACACAAAGAAACTGGTATTCTCTACAATTCACCCGAGGTTTGTTACTCAGATAAAGTTTTCTTTTTCCCGAAAGAAAAATGACGTAATTAAAGTAGTATTGAATTGACTGTCTAGAGTGCCTCTAATTGCTCTATTTATACATTTTGATTTTCAAGAAACACATCCTAGCCCAATAAGATTTTATGCTTTTTCTGCATACTTTGCAGTGGCGGATCTACGGGAGGGGCCTGGGGGGGGCGCCCCGCCCTCCCCTTCCCTATTTTGGGTAAAAAAAAGAAAGAATCGCAGAAAGAAGAAAAGCCGGCAGGGCAAGCGACAAAAAACCGAGTCCCCCCTTAGCTCGAGGTCTGGATCCGCCACTGCATTGTTAGTTACCTTGATTCCGCTTGTCACTCTAATCATATTAGAAATATAAGGTTTCAGTTTTTGAACATTTTTTTTTGAAGGCGTTGTGCTAAATATGATGTTTTCATCGAAACTTTGCTTTCTTTGGCCTGTATATCATTTTGTTGTGTTTTGCTCACTTAAGTTAACAATACCTGGTGTCATGACCAGAAGAAATCGTTGATGCCATGAGAATTTGAAAAGGCCTTAAGTGCGCTTAAAGTCGACGCAAATTATAAACTAGAAAATCCAACCACACTAGAAATAACGTATTGAAGAAGTCCAGTTTTACTAATGTACTCTTCACTTTTAACATTAGAAAATTGTACCATGATGTTTCTTTGTTGTTTCCCTGAAAGGAATTTATCACACTTGCCAAAGAATTAAAGAAATCTCCTCAACTTCGCAACTACATAACAACGAATGCTAAAAAGTACATTGGCGAGCATCACCCTGTTGAGAAAGAAACTAAAACATACAAGTGGCTTGTCAAGAAACTTATTTCACTTCAGCGGCAACAGTCTGGGTCCACCTTTGAGGAGTCGAGGGAAATTCTGACAGAGCAAGTATGTTGAAGAATGTGCACAATGCTTCTGAAGGAGTCAAGAACAGGAAAATGTGGCGAAGGGTTGCTTAGCAATACGTGAAGTAGAAGTGTTGGTAATGGTCTGGATTGGAGGGTCATAATCGCCGCCGCAGGATCTGGGTACAAGATTAGTCCCAGCCAACGCCCCCATTGGATGATGTGTAAACGCTTAAATATAACCTGAAGGAAATCAGTATTTCGTTACCAAGCGAAGACATTTTACCCGCGTTCCCTAAATTGATAAAACTTTTCTGGAAAATGGAACGGTTTTCGATAAAATTTGAAAGTCGGTACAAAAAAAATCTCCGAAAGTAGACGCTTTTGTCCGAAATTGGACGTTACCGTCCGGAAGTGGACGGTAATGTCCGAAAGCGGTTGTAAGTGGTTAAAGTCAGACACTATCCTTCGCTTAAATACAAACACTACACATAAACAATCAGCAAAGAAGTTAAAAGAAATATTACAAAAAATTGACCCAAAATTCTTAATAATTTCATTTGAGTAAAGATATATCATTGTCTTACTTTAAATCTGAAGGAATGTTTTCAACCAATTTGTAAATTTTATACGAATACCTATACAACGAATTTCCTCGCGTAAACTTACATGGTCGGCAGTATAGCTAAACAATCCTTCTTTCCTTTACTTGTTTTCAGTGGGAATAGTTGCACAGATTTACGGAACCACGAAGAATCACGAGATGGAAGCATAACGGCACATGCAAATTCATCTTTCAGAATAGCTGATTTACATTTCTAATAGTCTGCTCACTTTTTTTCTTCCCTTTTATTTTAAAATTTCAAAAAAAAATTAAATTTTAAATAATTTAGCTTTATTGCCTCTTTTAACCAGTTGCGATATATTAACCCAACTGTAATCGAGCATTCTTCATCAAAAGCTATGCTGTTTCAATCAACGGAGGTTGGAAATTCATTTGCTCAGCCAGCTCCAGAACTTTGACATGTACAGAATAATCACTGTCCATCAATTCTAAGGCGTCCATATAGTGCATAACAGCCTCCTGTACCTTGCCTTCTAGTTCCAGTTGTCTGTAAATGAAAGAAAAATACCAAGAGGACTGAGGCGAGCTACCCAATTATCATTGCGCGCCCAGTCTCCTTTGAGTCCTCGCATCGTGATTTTCTGTCATTTCTCGTTCTTATAGCACATCGTAATCCAATAAGCTACTAACAAAAAGCACGAACGTCACCCGAGTTAAATTGAGTTGCAAAAACATCATCAGAGTTAAATCCGAGTTTCACGAACATTACCCGAGTTAAATCCGAGTTGCACGAATATTACCCGAGTTAAAATAACCTAACTCCGGCAAATTTTTAGAATGATAAAGAATCATGTCAAACAGCACAAACCTTCCATTGACGAGACACAAGTCGTACTTCTCTCTCTCTGATGAGCTGATCACACATGCACACTTGTGTATCTTGATGGCATCAGACACATGTTCCCCTGAGGGACACTGGCTCGGCACAGAGCCTTCCAATTCCTCGTGATCTTCATCTATGTCGTTGTTGTCATCTTGTGAGCTCTCGTGTTCCTTTAGCTCTTCATCATCCTCATCATCATCATCATCATCGATCACCGGAAGTTCAATCCTCTGACTCATACTTTTCCGTCTGTTCTTCTTCAACACAGCAGGTGAGTCATTAATACTAACAGAAAGAAACTTAATTCATCAGGTAATATATCACACAATTCATATATTTTAATAACCAGCGTGATAGACGTACTTCCCATCAACGCTTCTGCCAGCCTGCGAAAAAACGCCTGCGATCCCAAACGATTTCCGTGAAGTCATAATTTTTTAACCAATCATATTTTGGCCCTTTTTTTTGTAAAGCTAACAAGCGGGGGGGCAAAATGGCACCCTCTGAAAATACGGCTGTAACACTGACGGACTGATATTCCAAAATCACCAAGCAGTCAATACCTGCACCTTTTGGATTTATTCTTACCTCTATGGTAATCATCTAAAATATAGAACTATTAAAGTACTTTAAAGTTTCCCTCGGTTACAGGTCAGCTTTCTTCTTAAAAGAAACGAGTTCCACGTAGAGCGACGTAGTCCCGTTAAGTTTATCCCCGAAAACCGTTTAAGTTTCACAATTACGCCCAAACAAACTATTGAAATATTCCAGTTGACTATTAACAAAATGAATACAAACGAAACTGTTGTGTATAATACTCCCAGCATACATTTCAGGAGGGGGAGAACTCTCCTTAGGAGCTGCAGGAGAACAAAGATCTATGAGGACTGGTGATGAATTCTGTGCTGATCTTGAAGCCTGGTGGGAAGAAAAGAGGAAGTCAGCTATTCAGTTTACATCGCAACTGTGAAAGACAAAATTACAAAATTCTCTCTTACAAGCCTCTCTTCAAGGGTAAACCGTGAACCGAAGGGACAGAGCAAAATGTCTGTTTTAGAGAGGTGTCCGTAACGAGAGGTTCGACAGCATAGAGACAAAAGTAAATGAAAACAAATCGAATAAAACCGGTCAAAAAGAAAAACATTAAAAAATCATCTTAGAAGCAATGTGTGCGGTTCACCACATGTTTTTTTTTAAAGCCATCATTCGATCATTCGACAAATATCATTCAAAATGAAAATATTTCACAACTTCTGATTGCCTTTTGAAAACAGAGACTAAGCTTAAGGCTTAAAAGCTCTAATAGATCGATGTTGTCGCAGCAATCACATGCAAACCACTCCGAGTATAGAGGATAAGGTTGTAAAGACGCTGTATCAGTGGGTGTGTTATAAGATGATTTGGTTTTATCACAGGAGTTGATGATGTAAACTGGCCACTGTAGAG